CTAGATGCCTGGGGTGAGAACCCAGGAGCCTCAGATCTTCAGCATGGGGTAAGAGGCAGTGCCAAGACTGGAATCGAGCCCAAGAACCCCTACATCAAGCCCCACCCGTGGTAGCACCCCAAAACAGAAAGTGGAAGCATGGGTGTAGGAGGCAGCTGGGGCTTCACCCTCAGAACAGAGAAACTAGAAAGAAGAAACAGGCCATCCTCAGGGAACGCTGAGCCCTCGGGTCAAGCATTCTTGGCCAACCTTGCCACCTCCTCCTGGGGACAGCTCTAGCACTGAGGACCTGGATGGGGGCGGGGGGCCATGGGCAGCCACTTTGCTTTGAGGAGTCATGGGGATGGGGTGGAAGAAAAGAAGCCTGTTTCCATTCACCTTATGGACTGGCTTTTTGGATCTGGGAGCACAGAGGACTTGGGGCTCTCATCAGGAAGCAGAACTGATTCCTGCAAGGGTCTAAAACCCTCACTGGACCTCACAAAGGCGACCTGCAGAGAGCAGTCAACATCAAAAATTATCTCTGTCAGAATCGCTCCCTCTGCTGCATGTTGTCACCCCGCTCGGCAAGTGGGGAACACACAATCAGCCCGACTGGGCAGGGGGCTCATCCTGCTCTCGGTCTGACAGAGGAAGGAAGAGGAACATTTTAAAAACAGCTAAAGCTTGGTGAGTACTTGCCATGTGCCAGGCACGGTTCCAGGTGGCTGCCTGGCATGCACCACCTCGTGAAATCTCATGAAGGAAGGCCTGGCGTCCTCCCATCTGAGGTTGAGGGGCCCCAAAATTCAAGGTTACTGTCTGAACTGGAGGGCAGCCAAGCCCGAAAATGCAGGAAGTGGTTTTCAGTTTTCCTGAATTACCTGGAATTCTGCGCTCTTCCCCTCCCACCCCGCGCGGCACAACCTTCCTTTGCAATTACATAATAGGCTCTCAGGTGTTTGTGGAGGAAAGGCAAGAAGAGTAAATCGGAACAAATGCATCTTTGCTGTTAAAAATGGTTTTAAAAATGCTTCTGTGGTTGAGGCAGAAATCAGTCCTATGGCAGCTGGGCTTGGGGGAGCAGGGGCCAAATCCAAAGTCAGCCAAGACACAGTGACCCTGATGCCTCATGGGCTGGCAGGAGGGAGCTAAGAGGAGCTAGAACCTGAGTGGCTGAGTGCCAAGAGAACAGAGAAGGCCGGGGACTACAGCTCAGGACAGAGGTGAGCACCAGACCCTTGAAACAGCAGCAGGAGAACCTGCTACCTAAGACTGGCAGGGCCCACCCCCTGCCCCCACACGTGCCCCTCTGGGAAGTGCTCATCCGCCCGCAAGCAGCCCTCCCGACCTCCCTCCGGCCTTGCGGCGTGTCACAGGGCAGAACACGGAGCTTCCCGGCCGCCCCCAGCTCAGCCATTGGGCTGGAGCCCTTCCTCTGCAGCCTTCCAAGCAGAGAAAGCTCCCAGCCACAGCCTTAAACTCTCTCCTCCACAACTCAGCCAGGAATAGAGGGAAAATGGAACCCATTATTCTCATTCTGAAGGGCTGGGAAATGGCTTGTGCTTTTCAACATGAAATGTGCCTAAAAATAAGCTGTGAATTTCAACCAGAGGTTGAAAATAGCTCTGGCAGCGAACAGAGCTCTCTGTTCAGAGTGAGCTCAAGGATGGCCTTCAATTCCAAGAGAGAGAGCTGAATGCTACAGTCCGAGCAGGGGTCCAGGGCAGGGGGCTTTCCAGGGCACAGGGGCTGTCACAAGCTCACAGGGCTGCCCTGGCCATAGTCCACCGGGGGCGGGGAGGGGGAGGCTGCCCTCCGGCTTTAGAATGCCATCCTCCGTGACACACACAGTATCTGGCCTGCTGGCTCCCTAAGATCCTCAAATGCCCAGGTGTGTGTCGGGCAGCTTTAGGGCCCTAGGCTCTGGGGAGAGACAGAGCTGGAGGGGGAGGGGGTCATAAGGTTCAAGAGCGCCTGGGGCATGGGCTGAACCAGGCCACCCTGGCCAGCCACCAAACCACTCACCGGTTACTATCTCAGGGCCAGGGAAGCCGGCAGGCAGGAAGGGCAAGAACGCACTCCAATGGTAAGTAAAAAAAAAAAAACGAGTTGCTAAAGGTCTTTTTTTTGTTGTTTACCGTCACCTCTGGAAGATTCCAAAGTCTGACAGGCTGAAACGACATTTCTATAAAATAGACTTCTGTTAGAGAGAGTCTAGAGACCTGAGCCATGGCTGCCCGGTGAAGCCCAAATCTGGCCCAATCAAGCAGGGGCAGGAGCTCCAGAGTCATCGTGCTCGGGGCAGACCACCCTCCGCACAGTGGCCGTGCTGTTTCTGCCACAGAGATGCCCCCGACCCACCTGATTCCTACCCTCCTGCTGTTGCATTCACTGCCTTTCTGGGATCACTCCTGAGGCAGGAGTTAGGGTAGCGATTCTCAGCGGGTGGGCCATCCTGCCCCCCACCCAAGCGATCTGTCAATGTTTGAAGACATCTGGGGCTGTCACAACAAAGGGTGGGGCGATGCTACCGGCAGCCAGCGGGGAGAGGTCTAGGAGCCGCTGAGCATCCTGCAAGGCCCAGGACAGCCCCCGCTGCAGCCTTCATAGGGCCAGGGTGGGGTCCGCGGGAGGGGCGGGAGCTCATCGGGTGCACCAGTGCCTGGCATGTGGCTGCAGATGACCTGGGCTCCCCGCGGGAGTGGTGACAGTCTGGCCATCCATGGGATTGGTCAACAACTCAGTGCCAGGGAAGCCCTGGGGCAGGAAAGGTGAGACTGTACTTGTCAGCTTCCCTTCCCACCACAGGGGCAAACCTAACCGCGGGGTAGGACTGGGCCAACGGGCTCTCCTGGGCGGCAGGGGCTGGAAAAACTGTGGGTGACAGTGGTGATGGCTGTACAACAGGGTGAATGCTCTTCCCGCCATTCAACTGCATGCTTCAAATGGGTCAAAAGGGAAATCTTATGTCATGTACATAAAACAGAACAAACCAACCAAAAACCCCTTAGCCCTCCTCTTGGCCTGGGAGTCCTGAGATCAGAGACACCCCTAGACGTGTACTCCACATGGTGTGTACCCTTGGGCATGGGTGTTTGTCTGGATGAGGGCCCATACACTGCCTCGGTGTCGCAAAGGTGCTTGTGACAAATAAAGGAAAAGCCATAAACAACAATTTTAGGACTCATAAGTCCTGTCGCTGTGTGGATTAGTAAAGTTCACCTATGTCCCACATGGGGGCCTCAGAGCCTGCCTGCGGGAGTACTCAGGTCCCGCTGTAGAAATAGAGGTGTGGGAAGAATGGGTGCTTCGTCTGGGACCACACGGCCAGGATTCAGACCCAGTTCTCTGACCCAGAGCCCATAACCCTTCCCCTGTGTAAGCACCACGTGGTGATGTCCAGGGGAACTGTGGCCATAGCTCCGTCGTGGGCCAGCAGGCAGTATGGGAACACATGGTTTTCCTGAGTACCGGTGAGCTAGTCTCCCATCCTTGCCAAACACTGCCCTGTCCTGCTGGCTTCCCCTACGCTGAAGGCCTTCGTGCTAGAGTATTAAGCCCCACAGCTCTGGGGCGCAAGGATGCTCCATGCCCCTTATCTGAGCAAGACTGAAGGGACAAGAGGCAGCTTGTCCAAGCCACTTGCCCAATAACCACAAGAAGAATATGGGATTCTCCCCTTGCTGCTGATTACTAACCATTCCCAAGAGGCAGGTGGCCGTGCCCTCTCCTGGGATGGGGGCGAGCTGCTGGGCAGCCCTGTGCCACCTACAGTTTCTAGCTCGGTCAGCCTTGCTCAGAGGGGCCAGTGTGGTGAGCCCCCAGGTCCAGGCATCCCGGCAGGTGACTAAGCCCCAGGCATCTCATCTGAGAATGAGAGTAGTAACTTGACCCGCCCAGCATGGGCTCGGCTCACTGAATGCCCAGTACATGGGGGAACTAGAGGGGAGAGGGATGGGGGAGCTAGAGGGGAGAGGGTCCTCACCCCACAGGATCCCAGTCCTGCAGTTTGAGAAATGCCTTTCTAGGCAGAAGACCAAACAGGAGCAAGCAGGCCGCAATGCAACCCAGTCATCCCCACCAAACCCCAAAGCTGAGAATCGGCTACTCGTTAACAAATGTCGAGAGAGAACAAAACCTCCCAGCCCAGGGCCACCCTCGAAAGAAAAGCTTTAAATCTCAACCCGGCCTATTCCTAGAAGTAGCTCCAACACACAGAATGGGTGTGTGTGCGCGCGCGTGTGTGTCGTCTCAGGCTGGGGTGGGGGATCCCTCTGCTGGAGCCAAGGCAAGCCCAGGATGGACTCAGAGGCTTCCTGGTTCTATTCTGGGCCAGCCTTGACTTGCTGGGGGCCTTGGGCAAGCCGTTTCCTGTTGTTCAGGCTGGTTTCCGTGGGTGGGAGAGGCTACACTGCCTCCAGGGTTCGGGAGGGAGAGATTTAAACACCCTGCGGCCACTAGGGCTTAAAACCCTCAGGGCTCCACACCCTTGGCTTGACAACTTACTTCAGCCACAGCGGAATGCAACCTTATTCAATGAGATCATGTCAGTTATCAAATTTTCCCCAAAAGTATCTGTCAAAAATTGCTGCTAACTATTTTAATTCAGGAACACTAAATGCCCTTTTACTGACAAAGATACTAAAAACGGTTTGTGGCTGAGGAACTTCCTTTCCATGGTTTAAAAAAAAAAAGGGAAGTGAAAGCAACAAGGCTGGGCCTTTCCCATCCGTCCCAGCTGTGGCTCAGGCCCCACGCCCTCTAGGAACTCTCCAGTGGGTCCTCGGCCCAAGGTTCGGGCATGGGACAGGTCCTCCCTCTCCTCAACCATTAGTAGCCTGAGCCATGCAAACACTCCCCCCACCAGACAGCACAGGACCTCGCACCCAGTGGTCCTCATGTCTTGTTTGTACATTCTAGATTTGAAACAAAGTGCAGCAAGTGCCAAAGTATGATTTGCTGCTCACCATGACCCACCAGAGTTTCAGGGCTCGGGACATGCCTGCTGAGCCACTTACCAGATTCCCAGAGGATGTGGCTAGTGGGGCTGGGGGCCTGTGCACTTTTAGGACTTCTCCATAATCCACAACATCAAAGTTACTCTTCCAGACCATCACCTGCAGAGAGCAACAAGCACACAGACATCACACCAGCCCTACTTCATGGAAGAAATGAGCCCAGAGGTGACCCCACCCCCCACCCCAGCCAAAGTTGCAAGACAGTCCCCACCTGACAGCCCCGCTCAACTCTGGGACCTGCCCCACCTCCCAGACTTTTTGGATGGGCCACCGTGTGGGCTTACTGCATGCTGTCCCTAGGCCTTTGCCCTTTGTTGTCCCTTCCTAGAGTGTCCCAGCATCAGCGTTGCTAGCTGCTTGTGCTATAGCGCTTGCTTCAGCAGCATCTTCTGAGAGACTATCCTGGTCTCCTGCTAATGTTTATCATAGCCCTCTAGTGATTTCTTTCATAGCATCAGACTCAACAATTATTCAATTTCTCTGTCTCTAGTCCTCGTTTATTGTCTCTCTCCCCACAAAACAGACGCTCCCAAGGGCCGCGGCCTGGCCTTAAGGTACACCAGACGACTGCGGTTAAATTCCTGGGTCCACCCTTTACTGTGTGGCTCCAGGCAAGGCACTCAACCTCTCTGTGCCTCCGGTTCCTCATCCGTGAAGACGGGATGATGTTACTTCCAACCTCACAGGAGACAGCTCAGCAGACACTGGTAGCCCAGGAGCCGTGGGTAACACACCCATCACTCCCCACTCCGCTTGAAGGAGCGTCGCGTCTTGAGGCTCCCCCAGCAAAAGGCTGGAAAATGGCCCTGCTGGGGAGCAAGAGAGCTTCTGCTAGAAGGTGTCAGCCCCAGGTGGCTACCCTGCACCAGGGTCACTTACAATGTGTCAGGAGCTACGGAGTGTGGCTGGTGCTCAGCAGAGGCCCCAGAGAGTCCTGAATCCTCGTCAGATGCGAGCTCACCACACCTGAGAGGCCTCCCTGCTTGCAAAGCAGCCACAAGCACTGTTCTGTGGGAGGCCGCACCCCACTCCCAGGGCAGCCCACCGCTTACTGCCCCCTGACTGACAGGCACTGAGGCCTTTGTTCCTCCTCCTGTTTACAAACAGAATTAGCACCCCCTCCCACCCTGTTTATAGGGACTGGTCCAGCTGCTGACTACACTCCAGGGAGGGGGACAGATTCGCATGTCTCTCCGCAAAGGCTCTCGGGAGTTGACTTTCAGAAGGCAGCCAGGGAGCTGCTCACAGGGACGGCCTGAGGAGGAGGGGCCAGAGTGGGCAGAAGCCCTACTTTCTACTAGGCCGCCTCTTGTATCCTGTGACTTTCTTTTACCAGGACTATTTATAGTGTGACCTTACTGTACGACTTTTCCCTTGTTTAAGCAATGAGCCAGGCCTCCACACTCGGGGACAGCTCAGGGGTCCCCTGGGCCTTCCTTCTCCCTCGTTTGGTTAGCACAGGAGCTGGTGCTGGGAAGGGAAGACGCCCACGGTCTCTTATCCAGGCCATGCCACCAAAGCCTCCAACCACCTTCTGCTTTCCTGGCAGACAACCTGAATCTGTCCATGGGGCTGGGGCTGGGGCTTGCTGGGAGGCCAATGGGACTTTCCTGGTCTGAGCAGTCAGAGCTGTGAGGCCCAGCACCAAATGAAGGAACATTCTGGGCAGGAGGCACCAGGGCTGACAGGCGGAAAGCCTCGGCACAAAGGGTGACAAAATGGGACAGGACCTCCTCACACGTGTCTTCCCCCTGCAGCCAAACAGTTGGAAAATGGGGCCCCTTAAAGAGCTCCTAAGTGGAGCACCCCGGGTCTGAGCACCTCAGCCCAAGTTTTAGCCTTCATGGTCACTCAAAGCCACCAAGGAAGCTGGCAAGAACTGGTCCATCCTCAAGGCACCTTGACCTCCTGTGCCCTTCTGTAAGTATAAGCCAACGTTGCTCACACTGTCCTTTACTTACTTGTTCATCAGAACCTCCAGAAGCAAAATACTCCCCCGTTCTTGAAAAGGCAACAGTGGTGGCTGGGCCCTATCAGAACAAACAGAAAAGAACAAACACCAAAGGTCACTCTAGCTTCTAAAAGCACAGGAAGAAAACGAGCTCATGAACAAGAGCAGCGGGAGGACCGAGGGCTGGGCCTCATGGAGCCCCTAGTCCTCCCCAAGCTTTCGCAGAGGCACCTGTCGGAGCTCAGCCTCGAGCATCAAGGTTGAGTCCTCTGTTCCCAAGCACCGCTGACAGCACAAGGCCAGGCCACAGGGTCATGGTGGGCAGGGAGGAGTGAGCAGGACAGTGCACACTGACAGCTCTGCTAGGTTGACATCACTGTCCCCACTTCCCGAGGGCGAGCTGGAGGTCAGAGAGGTGCCCTGACTCATCCCGGGCCTAGCACTGGCTCCAGAACCTGGTCCTCCTGGCCTAGGGCCGTGCTTCTCCCCCACACCGCCCTACAGCCGAGCAGAGAAGCGCATGGCCCCAAGCAGGAGCCGATGAGCAGAAGCAGGGTGCTGTCAGGGAGTCCAGGGGACACAGGAGGCCAGAGCAGGGCAGGAAGGGGGCTGGGGAAGGGATTATCAAATGTGCCTGAGCACAGGAGCGACAAGATACATCCCCCTAAAATGCACGTCACCTGCCTTATGTTAGGACCCTGGAGAGAGAAAGGCCCACTCTGGCTTCCCCGGGGCTGAAGGTCTGGATGACTGTGGGAAGGGGGATGCCAGACCAGCGCCGGCAGCACTGGAGGGCCCAGGAGCACATCCAGGCTTGGAGGAGCAGGGCGTGGTCTCCTGGGAAAGGGGGAAGGCTCTTTCCCACACGCCTGACATCCACAGCAGAAAGATGCCCGAAGCGAGTCTGTTTACACGACACGGTGAGCCACCAATCCCTCCTAGCCAAACAGTCCGTCTGCTAGTACCTGGCATCTCTCAAGCAAAACCAGAAAAAAGAGCTTCTCTCCTAACTGACGACAGCATGGCCCCCGTCACAAAGGCCACCTCTGTTCTTCCAGACCAGAGCAGGGAGCAGCAAGAGACCCAGCTGCCCAAGTGGGTGCCTCTGGCCATGGGCAACACTAGGATGCACCTTCCACTCGATACCAGAAAAGACCAGACAAGTTATGGGCTAAAACAGGAATCTGTGGGCTTCTGCCTGCCCAGAGAGGACAGGCAGGTGGAAAGCCACCCCCCGGGCCCAAGCATCCTCAGCAGGACGGAACATTCTTCCACTTCCTGAATCTACCCATGGCTCCTCCTCTCCAAGATACCCATAATGAGGGTGCTGAGGAAGAAGGTAGTACGGGGCCATTTACCACTGCTGTGCACTAACCCACTTAATCTTCGGAGGATGGTTTGCATGCTGACCCCTCCCTACAGGTGACATGTCCCAGAAGGGAGACCAAGGCCTGAAAGGTCCTGCCCCTTCCCCCTGCGCCTCTCCCTGCCTTCTCTCACAGGTGGGGCTCCAAGCACCCGGGGATCAATGCAGCCAGGGAGCCCTACCTGGCCATCCAGTAGGACAAAGGAGATCCATCTGTATAACTGAGAACGGTGCAAAATGCCAGCAGCAAGGAATCACGGGCTGCCAGGGCGGGGCTGAGTGCAGGAGGGGGAGGGGGCAGCTCGAGCATCCCTGAGATACTCTTTCAGGGTGGCAACCCCCAAGGGTGAACAGGACTTCTGGGGTGGTGGGGGGAGAAAATTTCAGATGACTCTTACTTGATTCTTGGAAATCCTGTAATTTCCCAAACTTTGAATTCTTAAACAATGAGTATGTGGCGTTGCTATGTTAATATAAAAACAAAACAACAAAACTATTTTCATTCTGAGGAAAAACAAAGAGGGGAGAGGGAAAAGAGAAGGAAACCAGGGCACGGGAGTGTCAAAGGAGCCAGGCTCTTGCCTGCCTGGAACTCATGGAGGAATAGCCAGTTTCCACGAGGTCACAGCAACTAAGGAACCAAACAAATACTCATCAGTCTCCTTTCCTGCTGTCACTCAACCACCAGATGCCAAGTTGGGGACAAGATGCCGGAGGCCAGCAGTAGCAGCACCCCTGAAGAAGGCAGCCAGCAGCCTGCGGCTTGGTGGGGGGCTGGGACCAGAGAGCAGGTGCTGGAGGTTTCCCCAGAGTCCAAATGCCCAGACACTCCTGGGCTGGTGCCAGCAGCAGGCAAGCAGTAGCGGCGGGACCCCAGTCCTCCCCGGTAATGCCCATTTACCCAGAGGATGCTTGGCTCCTGTACCTTGCCGTTCCCAGAGGGAACACCCTTCCACGGAGGCTCTCGCCTGTTTGAGGCCCACAAAGAGAGCTCTGCCATGGGCCAGAGCCAGCAGGGACTGGAACACAGCCCGGGCTTCTCCACCACTGACAATCTTCATCCCACCCCTTCCAGGGCCCAGACAACCCCCGTCCCCACTGACCTCGCCAGACCCCCCCACCCTGCACCGCTTCCTGCCCTCACTGGTGCTCCAGCCCCATCAGCCTGCTCACTGCTCCTCACCACAAGCTCCAGAGGGTCTCATCTTACCTTCAGGATCTTTCGTTGACTTTCGGCATGGAGCTCTTGATTCGATTTTTTCCAATCTTTCTCAGTTTTGAATCAACTCATTTAAGGCTACACGTGTGCCTCCGATTTACTACTTTAGCTACACCCCCAAAGTTTACAACATGCAGTACTCTGACTGGCAGCCACCTCCAGACGGTGTTTCCACTGTGATTCTCTTTCAGCCCAGCAATCATTTAGGCGGGCATTCTAGCTTCCAAACCACCATGGCTTGGGGTGGGGGGGTCCCTTTTATCACTGACAAGATCAGATGGGATTGCCGTTCTCTGAGATCGTTCTGCCTTCAGGGTGGCTTACTCTTTTCAGTTAGTCACTCTCGGTGCATTAGTTCACTGGCTCGGGCCAGGGATGTCGCGGAGTGGTCTCTGCACCAGAGGCAAGAGGGGCCTCTGCAGTGACCCCCGAGCGTGACTCTGAGCTCTTGGCTGAGACTTCAGCAATGTGCTCTGATTTCCGGAGGTGCCCACCTGCCTGACGTCCTGGTCCCCATCCGCCTGCAGGCCACATCTACTGGCAGAGACCCCTCACAGGTCCAACCAGATCCTTCCCTCCCTCTCCAGATCTGGCCAGTCAGGCTTCGGTGAGATGATTCTGCTCGGTCGTCACAAGCACAGGACACAGCCTGGCCTCCCACCCAGTCACTTTAACACATACTATCTCTGCCTTGACAACCTCCAAACCCAAGGGACCCACAAAATCTGCTTTCTTTGCTCTCGCATGGCAAAGCATCAAGCATCAATCAAGAAAGTTTAAGGGAAAAAAAAAAAAAAGGCAAAACAAAGGAACCCACAGTGTTTAGATCCCATAGGTCCTACTGATTCTCCCTCTCCAGCCCTTGTAGCTTGTCCAGGCCCTTCCACTCTCCTCACGCCCTTCCACCTGACTCCCCGAGGCCCCTGTGCACTTGAAACTTTGACCACGGTGCCCACAACAGCTATGCTGCCGAAGACCCAGCACAGTAACCCACCCACCACCACCTCCCAAGGCTTTTTAAATGTTTTTCACTGGCCACCAGCAAACAAACAGGAATGTCACACCACATGTCTCAAGTCAGAGGTAGAAAAGTGACCATCCAACAAAGATATGGAGACCAAGGAGGCCTGAGAAGCCCCTGGCGTGGGAGCTCTGGTCTCTGATGCGCCCAGGCTGCTCCTTCCACAACCCCCACAACAGGGACGCTCCTGCACTCGCTCGCTGACACCTGCCGTGGCTAACTCTTCTGTATGAGTAGTGACCCTGTGGACAAGGAGTGGCCTCTGGGAGGAGCTGGGGGTCAGGAATGCTGAGGCTCTCTCCTGACCTTGGCCAAGGATGCGGGTTCCCAATCCTCAACCCTGGGCTGCTGGCAGGGAACAGAAGGCCAGGCTGACCTGTCGGCTTACACAAGTTGAAGTAAATGAGCCGTTCTCCCTCTTGATGTGCTCTCACCCCTCCCCGGAGGTGCCCAACTATCCAAACTGGGTCTGAGCCTCCCAGGCATAAAAGTAATTCTCCAGAGTGAAATGATTACACCAGGGCCACAGAGCACTGGAAGAAACAAAGGGGGCAGGGCACTTTCTGAGAGCTTCCTTCCACCTGGAGCCGCCTGAGGGGCAGCCCACGTGCTCCAGGCCACTCTGTCACACTGCCCCCTCTCCTCCTCAACCCTGCACCCCCCTTAATGCCACTTCCCCAGCCCCAGCCTCGGTTCTGGCATGGCCCAAGCTCCCAGTGACCTTGGTGGACCCCATACCCTGAGCCTGTGATTTCACAAGCACCAAGCCTCAGAGCACAGCCCCAGGTGTGGACAGCAGCCCTGGGTTGGGGTTCTAGGCCCTCGAGCCAGCTGGGGTGCACGGAACCACGTGCCCAGTGGTCCCCGTGCAGCTCAGTCACTCCGCAGCAGCACGAATGCCAACTGCCTAGCCAGAAACGCCAGATTTAACTCCCACCCACGTCCCGCCCACCATCCTCTCCCAAATAGCTCTGGGGACTTAAACCAAATGAGCATGGCTCGAGATTATGTTTCAGAAAATACAGAAAAATAAATCTGCATTTCTAGCACACTGCCCCCACACTTGCCACACGGGGGCCTCGCGCGGGGCATGGGGCTGCAGTACAACAGCTGTGCTCAGTGGGAAAGCTCTTCCTTCTCTTGCTCTCCCCTGCTGCAAGGTGAGGGATGCCAGAGGAGACCCCTGTATTCTGACATCCTGAAGTCTGCACTGGATCCAACAAGAAGCAGGGACCCATCTTCCTTCTGCTTAACTGGTCACCGCCATGGCTGACCCTAGAGTGAGACCCTCTGGAGCCTCCGAGAGGGCAATGGCACCCCGGCCAGCCTCCTGCCAATATACCTGGCCCATCCTCTGGGAGGCAGGCCCTAGAAAAGACAGCCTGATGGGCGGGACTACTAAAGGGCCCAGCAGGCAGACCTGTGGACCAAGGCACTAACAGGCCACACCTACTCAGAGCAACCAGCCAGGACAAGTGCGTTGAGGCAGACAGCCTGCACAAGGACAGGTATCAGGAGCTGTGTGGCCAAAGAGAAGCCAAAGCAAGAGGGTGTTTTAGGGGAGATGAGGACAAGCCCAAACAAAACGAAGAGCTAGATAAACCCCTGAAAGACCCTGTGGGTGATGGAGGGAAGGGAAACAGGCACTCCCCAGCCCCGAGAGGGCAGGGCTGGTGGCTATGGGCCGGGCCCATCAGAGACCCCTACCAGCGACTCCTTTTCCTACAGAGGACTGCCCACACGGGCTGCCAGGACCATGCCCATAACAGAAACGTTCAATGGCCTTTTAACGAGCGCTCACCTAGAGCAGCCTGGGATCTTTCCTAAAACCTAAAGTGGAAAAGGACCAGTATCTGTAAAAACCTACCATGCCAGGTGCTGGGGAGTGTAGACACATGCTCCCCTGTTATGAGGCAGACGCAGCAGTTCTTACAAATAAGGAAGAGCTCAAGGTCCTGCCCAATGTCCCGGGGTAAGAGGCGAAGCTGGAATGGTGTGACCTTGAAAGCCTTCTTCCCGCCTCCTGAGGCTCAGGCTTTTCGGCTGAACTAGGTGGGAGAGTAGCCGTGGCTTTTCGAAACCAGAAATGGGTGGGTACAAGCTGTTTGTTCCTGGAGATATGGGGGTATTTCCTTAAAAAAGCTGGGCACCATCACCTGTCAGACAAGGCTGTGCCCCGCCCCCCAGAATGGCTCCTAGCACTCTCCTCAAAGATGCTGGCAAAGGAGACTGGTGCAGGCTCTTTACTAGCTCAGTCCACTGAGAGAAACTGCCCTGGTATTCCTGGGGACAAGGGTGGAGGAAAGAAGGCAATGTGCCCCATCCAGGCTGCCAGTGCCCTCCCTACTGCGTCCACCCTCCACCTGGGGAGGGCAGATCGGCTGAGGTAGAGGGCTCCCCTCAGCCTGTCCCACCAGCCCCATCAGCTGCCTCCTCACTGCCGAGAGCCCTCACAGCTGGAGCAGCAGAGCTGCTGAGGGCCTGGGACCCCCGGGCTGCAGAGAGCAAAGGGCCTGCCCAGCTCTCGGCCCAGCACCCGGTGCTCAATCACTCGAAGACACTCATGTGGCAGCAGCCTCTGAAGAGCCCCCATGGGCCCTAGCAGCAGCCAAGGAACCATTCCTGGGGGACAGCCAAAGTGGCATCGAGCTCCCATGGGGCAGAAGCCTCTCTCAGTCCCCGGCTACCTCCCCTGAATGAGCCTTCGAAGCTCAGAGTCCCAAGGCCAGGACTGCAGGAGAGAAACACCAGAATCCTTGAGGCCCACAATGAACTTAGGATTGACATCCACCCCTGACCCCACAAAGGGAGCCAGCTTCACATGGGCCGATGGGCGCTATGGCCAACTGTGTGCTAGACAGCAACCAGCAAACTGCTGCTGAGGCCAGACTCCTGGGCTGACGAGCTGCCCTCAGTGCAGCATGGGAGACCCGGGCTGTCTCAGGTGATCCTGACCTTAGTTTTGGCACTTGGCAAGCACCTCCATCCCGGTGCCCTTGTGCCTTTAGGAGACCATGAAATGGCCTATCAGACTTCTAGCCTCAACCCAGGTCAGAGTGTCAGCCCCACAGCACTGCCTGCCCTGAGCCTCCTTCTCCTCCCTGACCCTCCCTCACTGTTCCCCCAAAGGGGCTGGCTCAGGCCTGGCCCTCACACGGGGACAGAGAGACACTTCCTGGCATACACCCAGAGCGCCCTCCCGGCTAAGGACTGCCTCCCGCCGGCCTTAGCCCCCTGCAGCTGGCTCCTCTCGGCAGGCCTGACCCTGAGCCTGGGCTGTCCCTTCTCGCAGGTGTGGAACTAGAAGCACGAGGAGGTGCGTTCCACTTGGCAGAACAATTCACTAGCCTTCCCTCCCACAGCTCTTCCCTCCCATGCCTGGGGACTGTCCCAAGGAGGGCTGCCAAGTCCCAACCTAAGTTTCACGGGGTTCCCTCCTGCTGGACCAGAATGAGGTCACGCCACAGGCAAGGCTGGAACACAAGTGGTCACAAAGCCTGCTGGCCTCCTACACCGACTGGGAATCGCAAAACAAGAGCGAAATCACAACTCGACAGCTAAAAGCCAGATGTGTGAGGCAAGTGAGTAGGGTGGGAACCGCGGAGACCTGAACACCAGTCCTCGCCCTGCCACCTGAAGCTGCGTGCACCCCTACAGTTCCAAACCGCTCCCTGGGCCTCGGCTGCCCCCACCGGGATCGGAAGTAGTTTCAAATCCACCGTCTTCACCTGCAGGACAGAAACCCAAGGCACCGATGATCCACTCGGGAGCCCTGGGGTTGCTCCCATGCTTCAGGAAGTGGCTGGTGCTACCTGGGCCTGATGGGGCACTCAGCCACCTCCTGGAACAGAACATGAATGCTCAAGTCCCCGAAGAGTCCAGGTGCACAGCTCCCCAGAGAGACGGGCCAGGGAGCGGACTGCACAAGCAGGGAGCCCAAGAGGACAACACGCCCGCACGGGGCTGTATGAACTGCCAGCTGTCCCTTAGCCTAGTTCCCACATCTCCAGGTTCCACAGCCAACAAACCACTGCGCAGTTTCCCTCGTTCCCTGTGTCACTTCTCCAGGAGAACGTCAACAGGTTTCCTTTACGTGCTCAATGCTGTGCCTGAACATGGCACTGGCATTCTAGACACCACATTTAAGGCTTATTAGGCTGAGAGGTGAGTCAACAGTTTAAAAGAGAACCCTCACACACTCTCACACACACACGCACACGCACACGCACACATCCCAAAAGCCCTAGGTGATCACTTGGCATGCCTCTGTTTGCGTGATGTTTCTGGATATTGCTTTTTCTTTCTGTGGGGAGTTGGAGGGGAGAGCACAATTCATGTGGTTTTAAAATGTCCTCCTGGTTATTGAAGAGCCCAAACCGGTTACACATGAGTCTGAACAACCGATTTGCCAAAGGGCTGACAGGGTGGCTTCCCAGCAGTTGCCCGGAGGCCAGATACTACACCTAGATGGGCCGGCCACTGCGGGGAGGGGACCGCCGGTCCTGCACTCCAGACATGTGACAGGGAGCACAAGTGGTCACCATGGGCTGAGGGGAGCAGGCAGCCTTCCAAGTCCCAAGAGAGCAGAAGAAAAGGCCCACACTCCCCGCCCCCTCCCCAAGCCATGGTCAATGGTCCACATGGCTGACTCAGAGGGCAGGAGAAACCAGAGCCCCAGCCTAGACGCCTCACACCTTGCTGCCAGCACGAGATGCGTGAGCACAGCAGGCCTCCCTCAGCCCTCAAGAGTCCATCCCTGCTCTCCTCTTTGCCTGCCTCCCTCTCACAGGTGGAGAAAGGGATGAACTAAAAGAAAGCTCTGGTCTCCGCACTCCCTGCCCCCTTTGGTGGTAGCAGTTATGTCCCAACTGGAGACATTCCAGTGACTGCTCTGCTCAGCCACACTTCCTGACTGGGCACTGCAAATGGCCCACCTCTCCATGGCCTGCCCACAGGGGCTAGTGCTGGTCAGTGGCCGCCCACAGAGTCCAGGCCACTGGCTACACTGGTAAAAGTCACTCCGAGAAAAGGTCTCTGCTCCCTCCATTCAATTCCAGGAATTCGCAAACACACACAAACACACACACACACACACACACACACACACACACACACACACACACACGAAGATTTCCTCCCTTAGCACCTGCCAGAGAGACACCTGTGGTTTCTGTCTCCAAAGGCATCGTGTCTGGAGAACCCCCAAGAGACCCCCATTCAGGGCAGGGGTTCCAGGCCTCTATTCAAATGTTGGACCCAAGGGACACTGGAGGTCACTGAGGGACAGATTCCATGCAGCCCCCTGGGGGAAGTATGACCATGTCCAGATGCCTCTCCCACCCCCAAAATTAACCCCTGGACTCCCTTCTCAGCTATAGTACCAGCCCCAGCACTTCTGCCAGAGGTCATACGTCCTGTGAGGGGTGAACCTGTTTCTGCATCTTACCCCACTGCCCAGGCTGTGAGGGGACCACAGAAACCATCCCCAGCGGGGGTGCCAAGAGAAGGGCCACTCCCTAGACCCACATGGGCCTCGAGATGGCACCTCTGCCTCCCTCCACACCACCGAGCACCAGGCTGATGCCCTCACCTGATGCCCGTGGAGTGTGTAGAGCAGTCGGCCCTCCATGAGGTCCAGAATCTTCAGGGTTGAGTCGCTGGAGGCGGTGAGCAGGTAGTTTCCGGACGGGTGGAAGGAGAGGGCATTCACCGCTGCGCTGTGCACTAGAGGGGGGACGTCAGTCAGGTGCTGGCAGGAGGCCCGGGTATGCAGCCAGAGCCTGAAGATGGGCGACTGGGGCAGGCCGAGGCTTAGCTCAGGACCAGGCCAGGGTGGCCACAGCTCTGATGACAAGGGGAGCCCCACAACAGTCCCTGGGAGAGGTAGAGGACTTGCCCGCGCCCTTGTCACATGGGCTCCCGCCTGTCCTGTGTCTCCTGATGCCTGTCCTCAGCGCATGGAGCAGTTGAGCTGGAGTAGAACAGAGTGCTCAAATGTAGCGTCCACTCTGTCTCTCTGACCACTACTTAGGGGAAACCGAATGGGGGTTCGGGGCAGGCGGGCAGATGGTGAGACGCACACTCCGGAGCCAGTCAGGCCTGGCTTCCGATCCGGCCTCCCCACTGTCCCTCACCGTAGGACCCTGAGCAAGCACGTTAACATGCTGTGTCCGCTTCTCCTGCTCTACCTCAGCACCCACGGGTTGGGGCGCAGTGGGAAGGGGCCTGCCCATGAGGCCTCTGTCCCTGATGGGCCTCTCTGCTGCCCTGGCTGTCACCCACAGCTTCCAGGTCCTGCCGCTTTACCCACTCCATAGCTCCCCCTCATCTGTGTGACTCTTTCCCCCAGTGGCCCGGCCTGATCCCCTCCATCCTGGGGACCCTCACTCTGCGCAATCCAGCCACCCCAGCCGGTCAGCTCCCCAGCTGTTCCACAGAGAGCTGAGAGACTCTTGCCCACCTCCAGCCCTGACCTTGAAGCTCACTGCTCAGTCACCTCCTCCAGGAAGCCTCCCGATCTCATCAGAGCCACCCCCTTGAATTGTCCCCCCGAAGCAGCATGAGGCTCTGGTGGGTGCACTCTTCACCGCAGTCTTTCACGTTTCAGTGTAGCTCTTTGACTCGTGGCCTGGTCCCCCATGAGATTATGTGCTCTATCAGGCAGGGGCTGTGTCAGGTCCTGGCCTCCCGGCTCAGCACCTAACACTGAGCAGGACTCAGAAAGCAGCTGGTGAGCTGGACCCAGGCAGGCCATGTGGGGACGACAACGTGAGGACCGGCTACCTTACACCTTCTTAAAGAAGTTGCTTTAAGAAGACCTCAGTGCCTTCATCCGTGGGCCAGGTCGGGGACCCCAGTGAGGGTGAGACATCCGTGGCCTGCCGAATCAGAACTGCTACAAACAGAAAGACAAATTCTAAAACCAGCCCCTCAGCCTGGCCCTGGGAGGTTGCAACAACAAGGGTTAGGCCAGAAACACACCCACCACAGGTCGGCCGTCCGCAGAGCCCACAGGGATACAGGGAGCCCCCCCAGACACCAGCCCAGCTAATGTGCCAGCATGCCTGGGGAGCGTGGGTACAAGTTCCCAAGCACACTTAGGGGAGACAGCCAGGGCTTTACATAACACAGTGTTTCCGTCTGAGTACTCTCCAGGCACCAGAGCTCTGCGAGCCAGGCTGCAGAGGCACTGACAGGGGCTCCACAGAAACAGAGGACAGAGCCCTCAGCCTGCGGCACTCCCCACACTTGAGGCTGTCGGGGGTGGGCGAGGTCAGGGTTCTCAGTGTTTGCCAAGACTTGGGGCATGGAGAGCCAAAGAATTCAGCCCCAGCTGACCCCATCGGGAACTGAACAGGCAGGAGCCAGCCACAAGCAGAAGCAGAAAGAACGTTCGTAACACAGAATGTGAGTGCCAGTACCCACATGTGGAAGGGGACACGCACATGCAGAGGGAAGTGGACAGAACTCCAAATAGAGACCTTCTATAGAGTCCTCTGCGGAGGACAGGAATATGGGATTTCTCATTTATTCTGTATACTTCCAGATTTTTTTTTTTTAATTTGGGAGAGAGAGAGAACACGTGTGTGTGCATAGCAGGGCGGGAAGGCAGAGGGAGAGAGAGAAGCAGGCTGCCCGCCAAGCAGGGAGCCCAATGTGGGGCTCGATCCCAGGACCCTAGGATCATGACCGGAGCCGAAGGCAGACACTTAACCGACTGAGCCATCCAGGTGTCCCAGATTTTTTTTTAACCATCAGAATACAGTCACTGTGATTACACAACTGGGTGAATGATAAAAAGTGAATCTTTCCCTCCCCCCAAAGAGTGAGTCATGCCCAGGGAGGCAGGAGCCCAGTCTGGCTCAGCACCCTCCCACCAGCCCTCTAGGTCAGGCGTCTACAAGCTAAGAGCTAGGGCCCTGCACTCCCGAGCGGCCACTGATGCTCGCCAGATTGCTGCTTCACGCTGGCAGTGACGTGGGGTGGGAGGAGGGGAGCCCCGCCACCCTCAACCCCTCAGCCCCCCAGCGGGACAGCTCTGCGAGGAAGCCTGCCCCACCTCTACCTCCCCAGGACCCCTTCAAATGTTGCTCCTGGCACGTCTACCTCCCTGCGCCTGGAGAAGGACACGCTATCCTCATTTCTGTGGCCCCTGGCAGCCTGTCCTGGAATGAACGCCACCCCACCCCAGCTGAGGCAAAGCTGGCAGAGCAGCAGTGGGAGCAGGAGGGTGTGGATCAGGGGAGGGCGAGCTCACGGAGTCCAGGGCTTCCCCGCACTGCCAGGGCGGCTGGTCGGGATGTGGATACCATGCAGGGCCTCCCAGCTGGACAGGTCTACCCCACAGAGGGAATCTCCCCCAGAGACGGGCACCAGAAGTCCTGCTCCATTTTAAACAGCAGGAATATCAAAGCCCTCCTTGCTGGGATGAAAACACCTGGAACCATTTACTCCAGAAGAGCATTCAGCCTGGGGGATGAGGATGTATTAGATACCAGGACCCACTGCCTGGCCCTCCCCATGCTCCTCCCTCTCCCACCGCCCCGCCAGCCTGGGGCAGCCCTTCCCGCTCCACGGAGGTGGGAGACACATTCTAAGGAGGCCTCATCCGAACAATTAGCCCCGCACAACAGTCCCCCAGGGAGGCTCCCGCCATAAAGTCCCAAGCAGTGACTGTCCAAAACAATCCACTTCTGATCAAGCTCAAAGCTTCCAGGCCCTCTCCTTGCTTCCAATGCAGCGATCAGTGTCAAGTGACCGGGGTGGGGGGCGGTGTGCCCCAGGGAAGACATTCCAACCCACGGTCAGAGACACGCCAACATCAAGATTCTACACATCACCAGGAGCCCAGAGAGGGTGGGACGGAGGCCGTTGCAGACCCTGACCCTATGCACCGGGAACTGGCCATCGCTTATGGGCAGCACGTGGCCTAAGGAGAGTCCTAGGTACCCACAATCCACGCTGCCCACACAGCGCTGCATGTACAAGCCCTCCGCAAACCCAGCCCACTCCCCAGTGGGCTCCAGATGGACCAGGGGGCCCGGAGAAGTCCCAGGCACCCACACAAAGCTACCCAGGATGCAGCTTTGTAAGGAGGTAGCTTTGTAAGGCAGGCCACACCAGGCCAAAGCCCAGTCCACCACCCTCACAAAGGGCTCGGCTCGCTTCACCTGGGGCAGCTTCTCACAACGTGCCACTGGCGTCACCAGCGACCTTGGGTTTCCAGGGGCCACGGAGTCACACAATGACAGTGCTCTGATACCAGCAGGGAAGGGTGCTCAAAACCTGCCTCCGTGTGAATGTCCCATAAATGCCCACTTAGGGATGCCATGTGGGAAGGCCAGGTTATGTGGGACAGTGCTCTGCCCTCCTGACCAACGCTTTTGGTCTCCAAATGTCAAGCAAAGAATACAGGCCCGCCCCACTGACTGCACAGCCCCCTGAACACCCTCCAAGACCACATCTGGGGTAGGGTGGAGGGGTGTGGTAGGAACCAGGGGACAGAGAACCTGGGACTCTGAGCTCTAACTAGAATGTCGGGAGAAGGCCGAGCCATGGCCTCCCAGGGACCTCAGGAAGCAAATCACGAGATTCAACATGGTGTAAGGAAGGCAGCATGTGGTCGCTACACTCAGAGGCCTTCCGTTGGAGATTCAGATCCCCAGCTTCCCAGCTGCGGGACCATGGGCAAGCCTCAAACTGCCCATCTATGAAATGGGGAGTAGCCCTGTCCTGTTCGCCTACCCCCCGCCCCCAGCCCATCACTGGACAGCGGACCCGCACGTGCTTGTGAGCCACAAACCGCATTATGAGTTCCGGATGGGGGTTGCTGCTCAGATGTCTGAACAGCCTTAATGTGGGCTCAGAGCATATGGAGCTGAACCCACCTCCGTGGGGCCTGGCACCCCCAGGGCTCCAGCAGCCTCACTGTCTCCTTGCTGAATTGGGAAACCAGAACCGCTCCCCACAGTGACAGGCTAGAGCCAAAAACTCCTTGCCTGAGACAAATGGTGCCAGCTGCCTGCTGTTGCCCGAATTAAGTCCTGAAGACCCAGCACGGGACAGGAAGTGTCCTCTGTGATGCATGCGACCATGGGGCAGCTGGACATGGGCAGGCTGGGCTTGCTGACCACACACAGTACCAGGAATCAAAGGGTCTCAGAAAAGCCCGACAACCTCACGTGCCCCAAGCCCACCCAGGAACGCCAGGTACTCATCCAGAGTCACCAAGAGAGACATGAGATGTCACAGCAGCCTTAAAAACATTCTTCCAGGGGTTGGGAACCAAAAAGAGTTCAGGCATGTGCTACCAGAGTGCCAGAAGTCCTTCTCGGGAGCCAGCCTCCAAACAGAGCCCCAGGTCCTCTAAGGATGAGGGAGCAGCTGCTATGAAGGGGCGAGGGGGAGCCTCACAGGAAGAAAGTTCGGCCATGGAGCCCTTAAGGGAAGCCGCTGGACCTAAGCAGACCTAGCCATGCCCTCAAGCAGCAGAAAGGTGAGGGCTCCGACCCCCAGAAATTGTCCTCAGATCCACCAGGCTCTCCTGGAGCCCTAGAGGGTGAGCTTAGAGCCAGTGGAATGAGTTTGCTGCCCCATGCACCATGCACTGGGCAGGGAGCTGAGGAAATGCTGGGGTATTCCAAGCCACCCAAGGCATCTGATCCATACTGGGGTGGCTTAGGAACAAGACACTGGTGGCTCTGTCACAGGAGCAAAGGACAACAGCAAAAAAAAAAACACTGAAATCTCTCTGCAGAGCCTGTTAGCCTCACGCACCTCGGGTCCCCTCAGGACTTGGCTCCTGGTACCACCTGAGCCCTCCCACCACCTCCCCCGCCCTGCCAGTCACTGACCTCCCAGGCCCACCCACTGCCAAGACTGCCCCCTCAAGAACTCCAGGGACCGCTCTCCAGCACCCGGCACCCTCCTCGACTGCCTTACATCACTCCTCCTCCCAATCACACTCTTCAGGAGACGCTGTGCTCCTTCGTGCCTCTGGCTCTGCCCCTTCAGCCCTCCCATTCTGGGAGAGAGGGCTCCTACCCCTCACTCTGGCTGCTTTGTGGACCTTCCATTCTGCAGCCCCTCAATCGCAGGGACCCAGGATATGGCCTCAGCCCTTCCCAAGCCCCCCGATTCCTGGGCCCAGCTGGCTGCTCAACCCACAGCATGACCTCCTGACTCCAGTCAATCTCCAAAACCTATCCCTCTGGGCCCAATCCCCGCCCCATTCACATACCCGGCCCTCACTCAGACACTGGGTGCAAGCGGCCCACCCACCAGTCACCCAGATGCATCAACTGCCCCCCCGCCGCCCATGCAGACCTCCCAGCACTGCTGTCCTCCCAGACAGACCTTCACTCCTCGAGCAATGGGACCAGTCCCAGCACGGCCAGCCAGACTGCATCTTTGGGACCACAGGCCAGAGTACGGCATTCAAGGTCCTCCCCAATGGGTACCCGCTGGTGTATTCTACAAACCCAGACTCATGCTCCTGATCCATCAGAGGTGAAGCTGGACCCTCCCAGGGTCGCCTAGACATCCTCTCCCCTCAGTGTCAAGACTTACGTGGTGAAAAAAAATTAAACAAAAAATTAAAAGAAAAATACTTCTGTGTTACAAACCACATTTCCAGGACTCACGTGGATTCCCCCAACAGAGCTTCACAAACCCCATAAGGTATTATTACCACCCCAGTTACAGATAGGAAAGAGCCTATACTCCCAACCTGCAGTGCCTCGTCACCTTCCCTTCCCATCTCTCCTGACCCCACACTCAGGAGCGCCTTCCGGCCCAGCACTCCTCCACACCCGCCAACCATCCCCTAGTTAACCATGCAGATGTGCCCATTCTCTAACCCAGGCCTGGCCCAGAGCAGAAGAGAGGCCTCTAAAGCCTGAAGGAGGGGAAGGAGACTTGTGGTCTCCAAGTAGAGGGCAGACGCACAGCTGCTCTGTTTTGGAAGCTCCATCTGGGACAGAGGCTGTAACAAACACTGGGCTCTGCTGAGGAAGGAACCAGTTATGCGGCTAGCCCCTGCCACCTGGTGGTGGTGTAGGGCAGTGCAGGCCAGACTCCCTACTCCGGGATTTCCAGGACCCAGACTTGGCAACTCGGGCATCATGAACACAGCACCTGGTTCCAGACCACCTTGTTACCCTACAAACACCATCTGCAAGGGAGACCCCATCACTGTCCCAGGGGACCCAGAGGAGTCAAGTGACCTGCCTAACATCACGAAGCTAGGAATGCAGAGACTGGCTGCAGAGCCCACCCTCCACCACGTGCTTTTTAAGACCAGGAGCCTCTCCCTCTTCTTGGAAGATCTTCTCACCTCGGTTACCTCAAGAAAGTGCCATCCTCAACATCTGAGAATCAGCTAAGAAGGGCTCAGAGCAGGTAGAAAGGAGAGCTCTGAACCCCAAGTCCCACACCTTTGTCCAGATACATCCTCCCCATTTTCAGGTGTGAATTCTGGAACATAGCCCGTGGACTTTAAACTTAGTCCCAAGGGTGCCTGGGTGGCTCAGCGGGTTAAGCCTCTGCCTTTGGCTCAGGTCATGATCCCAGGGTCCTGGGATCAAGCCCAGCATCGGGCTCTCTGCTCGGCAGGGAGCCTGCTTCCTCCTCTCTGCCTGCCTCTCTGCCTACTTGTGATCTCTGTCTGTCAAATAAATAAAATAAAAATAAATAAAAATTAAAAAAAAAAAAATAAACTTAGTCCCAAGTCAAGGACCACAGGTCCTCAAACAACTCCAGCTCTACCCCTCCCCAGTCTCAGCCCAGGCCCACGGGCCCACCCACCATTTTGCCCCTTGCACAACTCCCAGTTCCTCCCATGGACCTCGCCAGCTTCCTTCCCTGGCTCCATCCCCACAACTGAGGTGGCTCAGGGCCCTGCCCAGTCACACCTGCTCTCAAGACAGTTCCATACTCCAGTACCCTCGGCTAGCTCATCCTAATCATACCAAATCTGTCCCTCCCCCACCCCCCAGCTGGAGCCTGATGCGGCCCATGTTGACTGCCTGCCACTCTGCCTCCCAAGGGCTACCGCTGGATCAGGGCACACAGACCCGGGGCTGCCTCCTGAGCCTGGTCTCTAGCCTAAGTGGACCCTCCATCTGGTTCATGGCTCTGTATCTATGGAGGACACCATGAGGCCAGAGGTGGCCAAGATCGCATAAACACTGACTTCTTTTGACAGACCTGCCCCCTTCGCCTTAGGCCAGTAGCACAGGCAGCCCCTGAGAAGTGGCCCTTGAGCAAGGCCCTGGCCAGACATACCCCGCAAGCTCCTCGTTTCGCCCTGCAGCATGTGTAAGATTCCCAGACGGCTTGGGGGACACCAGCTAGTGCCACGATCCACCTCCAGGCCAGTGTTCCGAGCCAGCATGGCCACGACACAGACTACTGACCACAAGAGATCCCAGCAGGCCCAGGGCTCTTCCCCACTGACCGGGGCCATCCTCGGGGCCGCTTCAGCACCAGAGTGACAAGCCCGCCACCTGCTCCCACCCAGCCCTGCCACGGCAGCGCACGGCCACTCACGCTGATAGTGCTGTAAGAGCCGGTGCGTCCGCACGTCCCACACCTTCACCGTGTTGTCCATGCCGGCGGCGGCGATGCATGTGCCACTGGGGTGGAAGTCCACGGAAGTGACAAAGCTGCAAAGACAGGGGCCGCCACAGGCTAGAGAAGGACCATCCGGGCTCTGAACAGACCCCCAGACATCCAGTCCTTTCCTAACCATGCACATCTGCTCAGACTGTTCCCCAAACACAGAAGACCTCCCTTTTGCCCTGTTTCTTTACGGGGGCCAAGAGATAGCAAGGAGAGGGTGAGAACAGTAGCTAGCAGGTACCAGACGTGGACTCACCAGGGAGCAAATCCCAGCAGCCACTTCTAAATACAAACAGAGAGGGCGCCTGGGTGGCTCAGTGGATTAAAGCCTCTGCCTTCGGCTCAGGTCATGATCCCAGGGTCCTGGGATCGAGCCCCACATCGGGCTCTCTGCTCCGCGGGGAGCCTGCTTCCTCCTCTCTCTCTCTCTGCCTGCCTCTCCACCTACTTGTGATCTCTGTCTGTCAAATAAATAAATAAAATCTTTAAATACAAACAGAGAAAGTGGTCCTCAGCCCAGAGATCAGCTGATGACTCCGGGTGTTCTGAGTCAGAGCTGGAGCCCTCATCAAAGCAGGAGGCAGGACAGGCCCTGCCCACTGTGGCCCAGCCCCAAAGGGCCAGCAGGACCCCAAGGCCGCTGGTTGACCTATCTCCAGGAGATAGGCCACAGTCCCCCAGTATGCCCACGTGACACCCAGGCTGGCATCGTGGCTGGCTCTCCAGAGGAGCTTGGCCCTGGGCTCCCAGCTGCCTACTGGAGGAGGGCAGAAGCTGGGGGTTCATCAAGGAGACCAGAACAGGGGAGGTCCAGCTCCAGTGCAGGCCCCTGCCTCTCCTGATGATGTGGCACAATGGGAACCACCACCAAGAACTTACAAGAACCTGACAAGCCTGTCATTGATAAAACCATCACCATGGGTAAGTAACATACTAATGTGATGTGGAGAGGTCTGGGGTCACCTTCTTTGAGAGAGACAAGTCGCCAGTGTGAGAACTGGGAAGTGAAGGGAAAAGAGCGGCCCTAAGCATCACATGCCTTGAAGTTAGCCCCCCATATTTATGGGGATGGGGATGAGGCTGAACCTCCTGCTCACAGAGGAAAGAATCCAGAGACAGAGAGGGGCAGAAACGTGGCCCCAAATAAGGCCACTGGGGCCCCTTTGTCCCTAGGTCCATGCTCTTCCTGAACACCTGCAGGAGGACAACAGCGTCCAGTGACTTACCTGCCGTGCTCACAGTAAGAGTGGACACACTCCCGGCTCGTCTTGTCCCATAGCTTGACAGTCTTGTCATCGCTGGCAGACACGATAAGCCTCCCGTCGGGGGAGAACCTGAACCAGGCAGGGCACAAGTCACACCACCACTGTGGGCGTGGCACGCTGTCCTCCACAGCCACCTTCCTGCCCTGCCCACCACCTGATTCCAGAACCAGCCAAAGCAATGCGCCCTGCTCCGGTCCTGAGCAATCCCGGGCAAGCGGCTTTCCCTCTGAGAGATGGGTAAGAATGGGACCTACCTCGTGGGGAGCAGGGAGCAGCGTTGCTCACACGAGGCCCCCAGCACTGCACATGGCATGTGGCAAAGTGTGTGCTGATGGCTGATGCTATTAACATGAAGGTGTCCCAAAGCCACCATCAGCATCGTTATCCTATTCCCAGGTCCCCTGAATTCACTTTTGACTCGGAGCACCATCTCACGACAAAAGTGTGTGGAAGTCCTAGGGACCCACCCACGAAGGCTGGTGTAGGTTCCATACTTGTTTGCTGGCCTGGCCCCTCCTATTCTCAGGAGCCCAATGGTGAGGCCTCTCGGAGCAATCAGGGACTTCCCAGGACACAGGTGCCCTAAGAACAAGTAACTTGCGTGGGGTCTCCAGAAGAACACTGTAATAGGCCCCGATCTCCGACTTCCTTTGTTTCCCAGCGTCCCCAGCCCTCCCAACCTCTTCCTCTGGAGCACGGAGATCTCCAGAGAAAGGATCAGAATAGCTAAAAGCAGGCACATTTACATCCACGATCCTTGGCCCCTGAAATGTCCTCTGGGTCACTTGGCCCCCATCCCCACAGCACTGCCCCACCACAGCAAAGGGAGAGCCAGCCTCCAGACCAGCCTCCTCAGAAGCCTCGACCCCCACCCAGCAGCTCAAGCAAAATCAACTTCTGAGTGGTAGACCACAGGTTCAAATCCCAGCTCTGCCACTAACCCAGCGAGCGCCCAGGGGCAAGATACTGCACTGTCCTGAGCCTCGCTGTCCTCATCCACAAAGTGGGAATGACACCATGTAGCCTGCAGAACTGCCGTGAAAAAGGAAAAGAAATCGTAGTGAGGGGGCACCTGGGTGGCTCAGTGGGTTAAAGCCTCTGCCTTCGGCTCAGGTCATCATCTCAGGGTCCTGGGATCGAGCCCCACATCGGGCTCTCTGCTCGGCGGGGAGCCTGCTTCCCTTCCCCTCTCTCTGCCTGCCTCTCTGCCTACTTGTGATCTCTCTCTGTCAAATAAATAAATAAAATCTTTAAAAAAAAAAGAAAAGAAAAGAAATCGTAGTGAGGTAGAAGCGACAACACCTTGTCGCTCTTGCTCCAAAACAGCCCCTGCTGATGTGCTTCCAGCCACATCAGCCCAGATGTGAGGCGCTCAGTCGTGGCTGGCAATGAACTCACTTACTTGCCACGTGTGAGCTAGAAGCTCCTTGACAATTCACAATATGACAACTTCTCTGCTCCCATTTCACCCATAAGGAAACTGAGGCTCGGGAATATGAAAGAGGAGCTAGTGTGCCCAAGGTCATGCTACACTGGCACCCAGCAGCACCTCAGGGCCCTTCAAGGCCCGGGTCCCTCCGAGGGACCTGGGCCAGGACGAGGCTCACCTGGCACAGCGGACCCAGTTGATGTGCTGGCTCAGGGAGAACAGGAATTTCTGGCGATGAGTTGACCACACCTTCACCGTTTTGTCATCGGAGGCCGTCACGAAAGACTGGCCGTCGCTGCAGAAGTGGACACTCCTCACTGTGGCCGTGTGGGCACGAAACACGGTAGACTCGCCTTTGCTGCGGGGACGAGTACTTCGACTCAGGAAACCCAGAGCAGTGACCAGAGGGCCCGTGAGCACATTGATGCTCTCCCCGCCTGACAGGGGCCCCTCCCGACATCAGCGCAGGCCAGTCGCCCCAGCCCCCCAACAAGGAAGGCCAGAAGCACCACCCACCTTGCCATGCATGAGCAGCATCAGATGGGAGCCCTGCCGGGATGGAAGCAGCAAGCCCCGAATCCCTCTCCTGACCCGACGAGGAGGGCCCCAACCGGAGCCCCAGCTTCTGACAGCCCCTCTTCAGAAGTCGGGCAGATGTCCCACTGAGACAAGTCCAGAGCCAGGGTGGGACCTGAGTGGGGACAGCTCTGGCACCAGGGCCCCAGGCTCAGATAAGCCCTTCCAAGCCTGTAACTCACACATTGGGTATCCAGATCCGGACGGTCTTGTCTCGGGAGCCTGAGGCCAGCAGGTGTCCCGAAGGGGAGAAGTTCACACAGGTGACAGCGTCCTTGTGGCCCGCAAAGCGGTAGGCGCGTGACTGGGGCTTCATGTGCCAGACCATGAGGCATGAGTCCATGGAGCCACTGGCTGAGGAAGGAGGGATGCTGTGACCCTCAGCTCTGGTGGGCCTTGAGCCTCTGAGCAGGACGATGAGGTGAGGGGACAGGAGACAGACCACACTTCCAGCGACTGCTAAGCTTGGGTTTGGAGCATCGATGGGCTGTCAGCTCTCCGAGCAGCAGGCCCACAGGGGAGCGAAGCCAAGAGATGCCCTTCACATGCCAGCCCAAGGCTGCAACCCAGCAGGCCTCTGTCAAAACTCATCCCCCGTGGGGTCCCCCATAGTCACACCCTAAGGGTACTAAACAGCAAGTCCTCCCAGCCCAATCCAATGGCCTTTTACCATTGAGAGGGGCCAAGTTAATCAGAAACCTAGAGATTCCCCAAGATAGATCAAATGACTTCGTTTGTTCTTCATCTATAGTGACCAACAGCCTCTGGCAGGGGACCCTGACCATGGGATGAAGGGGGAGCCTTGTCCATAGAAGAAAGCAGGGGCATCTGGGTGACTCAGTCGTTAAGTGCCTGCCTTCAACTCAGGTCACGATCCCAGGGTCCTGGACTCCCTTCTTAGCTGGGAATCTGCTTCTCCCTCTCCCTCTTTCCTTCCCCTCCACTTGTGCGCGCGTGCACACCCGTGCTCTTTTGCGCTCTCAAATAAATAAATAAGTAAAATCTTAAAAAGAAAAAAAAAATGCACTAAAAAAAAGAAACAACAAAACGGCAGCCATGATGGCTGCATAGGAACCTCCAAGCGACCAAGAAGCCGGAGTACTCAGCTGCTGCACAAGGGTAGGGAGTACGTGGCTCTGCTCTTCGCCCTTCTCACTGGATGCCCCCAACTGCTGTGGACAACAGACTTGAGGACCCAAGGAAAAGGAGCCATTGTTTAGGGCCATTCCACCAGCCAGACCCAAGAGATGGCTGGGGTATATGCAGTAAAAAGCCCAGACCCTGGGCCCCCCTCCCAAGGCTACATGCCCTTGGCAAGGCCCCCAGACTCTCTGAGTCTCACACTTCTGCATGCAGAATGCAGTTCACAGAGCCACAGAGCCCAGCACTCAGAGAGTGGCCAGCTGAAGCCAGATGCAGGTCTAGACAAACCAACTGGGTCCTCACGGTGTCCTACTCCCCTCACACCACACCTCCCAGCTACAGACTCCGCCCTCTCAGCTCATAACCTAGTGCCTAGGAAAAGATGCCTCCTCTTACCCAACTGCTTCGTGTTGAGACTGAAGTCCAAAGAGGTAACTGCATCTCGGTGGCCCTTAAAATGCCTCTCCAGGGAGGGGTCCTCCTGTTGGAAAGCCAGGGTCAAATGTGTGAAACTTGAATGAAGAAGGGGCTTCCCCAGGGGTCAAGACTCTTCCAAACAGCCAGGAGGGTACAAAAATGCTCAAGGCATGATCCTATATATAAAAATCCTTAGGATTTTTATATAGCTAAATAACTATTTTTATATAGCTAAATAACTATAACTAACATATAGCTAAAAAACTAATAGAGCTAATAAACCAGTTAAGCAAAGTTGCAAAATCAATATATAAAAATCTATCGTGGGGCGCGTGGGTGGCTCAGATGGTTGAGCGTCTGCCTTCGGCTCAGGTCATGATCTCCAGGTCCTGGGATAGAGCCCCATGTCCAGCTCTCTGCTCAGCTGGGAGTCTGCTACTCCCCATCCTCTGCCTGCCTCTCCCCCTCTCAAATGAATAAAGAAAATCTTTAAAAAATAATAAAATAAAATAATAAAAATCTGGGCCACCTGGGTGGCTCAGTGGTTGAACATCTGCCTTTGGCTCAGGTCATGATCCCAAGGTCCTAGGATCGAGCCCCATGTCAGGCTCCCTGCTCCGCGGGAAGCCTGCTTCTCCCTCTCCCACTCCCCCTGCTTGTGTTCCCTCTCTCACGGTCTCTGTCATATAAATAAATAAAATCTTAAAAAAAAAAAAAAGGTGAATTTTAGGACATGTGAGTATTTCAACAAAGCAATTTTTCGAAGAGAATGAAGAAGAAATGGGGGGCCTTTCAGCAACTCCCATTTCGGGAATCAGATTCTGCACTTTCAATCTCACTGGCAGCCAGTGTGGGCCACTGAACCCAAAGGTCAGCCTGGACAGGCCCCAAGGGTCAGTGACCCAAGGGGCACCTGACCTCTACTGAGGTCAAGGAAGCAGCTGTTCAGGACACAGCTTAGGAAGACATGGAGAAAATATTCCAGAGACTCTTACCACCCAACAGCAGCTTCTCCTAGTACTTGAAGAGTTACAGTCCTGCCATGCAAACATCTCCCCTTCCCTAAATATCAGAAACCTCAAAGAAGCATTTTGGGCACACCATGGAGCCCAGCAAAACCTCCTCTTGGTAAAAAAAAAAAAAAATGTCCTTGGGAACAGAGTAAGACCGTTGCCACCTCACAGAGCTGTAACCAGAACAAAGGCCCCCAGGGCCCTGTGCCCAGCTCCACCCCCAACACACCTGCCCCAGTCCCCCTTTCAACAAGAAACGGAGTGGCAGCTGGGAAAGGGCCCCCAACAGAGCAGCAACTGCTACATCTGAACCTCTTAGGAGAACAAGAATAAGATAATGTCCACCTCTAGGCAAGTTCAGTTCCACCTCTGACCAGGGGGCTCCTGAGACCTCCCAACACCCTTCCCACCTCCTCATCCCACCAGGCTAGATGGTTCCTCATCTCCCACAAAGGTGGTTTATATACGGAAAGAAGTGGGGAGGGATTTGTGGAAAGGGCTAGAATAGGGATCAAAAAGCTGGATCCTAAGTCTAGGCCCTCTGCTCTACAGAGCACCATCTGATCTTCCTGACTCTCAATCCAGCCCAAAGACCAAACATGTTTACACAATCTCTCAAAAAGAGGGGTTTGGGAGTACTTCCCTCTGGAGGAACCTGGGACTCAGGGCGCCCAGCCCAGAACACAATGCAGACCTGAGCTGTCCCGTCCGAGCAAGTGTTCGCTCAAAAAAGCCCCTACCAGCCACCCACTGCTCAGGATGGTGAGACTCAGGCCAGCGAGGCCCGGAGCTGGCCTCCGGCCCGACTTCCAGTCGAAACGTACTAGTACTAGCGTCTCCTCAGCTAGGATGCGAATCCAGGGAGCAGGGACTTGGTGGTCCGCCGCGGCAGTCCGCAAAGGGTCTGGCGCGCAGAAGGTGCTCACTATGTGTCCCGACCCAGCGACCCCTGCACAGACCGTCAAGCGGCTGGAGAAGACTGGCTTGGAACCCGGCGTCCCACTCGCCCCCTCGCAGCCATCGCCCGGGCCAGGCGCCCACAGTCCCAGGGGGGAGACTAAGGCCGGGCAAACACCGCCGGCGAGAACTTACAGGGGAAGGTGCAGCCATGGCGGGCCGGGGGCGCCCAAGACGCCGGAGAAAGCTGCGTCGGCCGTTGCGGCCCGTTCAGTTTCCGCGCCCCCAACCGCCGCCAATAGCAACGCGGGTCGCGTCGTCACGCCCCGCCCACGGCGATTAAAGGAGACGCAGCGCGTCGGCTTTTTGACCCCAGGCCGGAAGCAGAGCTGTGTGGCGAATTCCACGGCCTCCGCGCACAGCACCGCCAGGCCAGCAGCCCACGGACGTTGCGGCCAAAGATCTCTGTCCACTGTCACTAATCCCCTGAGAAATGATAAAACGCAGGATGAGGCGTTCACGCCGCCCACCCCTAGCTCGGTTTACGAGGCCACGAGCACAGCCTTCTGGGAAATGCAGTTTCAAGATAGCGGCCACCTAGGGTATGTAGGAAAGTGAAACTACTTTTCCCAAGACACCTTGAGAGCCGGGCGGGATTAACCACGCGTAGGAAGGGCCTCAAGGATGCCGGAAGTGGAGGACACGTGAGTCGTTCTTTGGGGTTCTCTTAAAGGGCCCTTGAAATCAGGTGGTCGCCCAATGCCTTAAGGGCCAATTAGTCACCCCTCGGAGATTCTTTAAATGGTCCGCTCCTCCGAACTTAAAACAAGTGTCGATTTAAAAGAACACCAGTCCCTTGGAATGACATCCGTGGGATTCTCCATGGATGGAGAAACCTAGGTTCTATTCTGTTATTGTCATGCCTCCTTGTGTGACCTGTGACCTTCGGGGGAAATACCTCTGCCCAGGCCTCAGTTTACCCATTTGTAATACAGAGAAGTGTGACGCAGTCTGGGCCTCTCCAGAACCCTCGGCCCTGAGAAGTGGTTATAAATTACATGTTTAAAAGAAAAGGAGACATTTCTAGATATGTCTCTTAAGGCAAGGGAGCCAAAAGCAAAATTAAACTATTGGGACTACATCCAGTTAAAGAGCTGCTACACAGCAAAGAAAGTAATTAACTAAGGCAGAAGACAACCTACTGAATGGGAGAAGATACTTGCAAATGACTATCTGCTAAAGGGTTAGTGTCCAAAATATATAAGGAGCTTATACAACTCAACACCAAAAATGAAAATAATCCAATTAAAAATGGGCAGAAGACATGGACATTTCTGGGATGCCTGGGCGGCTCAGCTGGTTAGGCATCTGCCTTCAGCTCCTGGCATGATCCTGGGGTCTTGGGATTGAGTCCGCATTTGACTCCTTACTCAGCAGGGAGCCTGCTTCTCCCTCTGCCTGTGGCTCCCCATGCTTGTGCACGCTCTCTCTCTCTCTCTGATGGAAGAAAAAAAAAAAAAAAAGACATGGACATTTCTCCAGAGAAGACCTCCAGATGGCCAACAGACACGTGAAAAGATGCTCAACATCATTCATCATCAGGGAAATACAAATTAAAGCCACGATGAGATACCACCTCAGAGCTGTCAGAATGGCTAAAATAAAAAACACAAGAAACAACAAGTGCTCGCAAGGTTGCAGAGAAAAAAGAACCCTCATGCCCTGTGGGTGGGAAGACAAACTGGAGCAGCCACTGTGGAAAACAGTATGACATTTCCTCAAAAAATTAAAAATAGAATTGATGAAGTTCTAGAGTATAGGAGGTGAGGTTCGATGGGGTGAGGTCCGGAGCTGATGACCAAGAAAGAATTCTTGAGACATCTTTGGTGCAAAATGGTGGTTTATTAAAGCGCGGGGACAGGACCCGTGGGCAGGAAGAGCTGCTGCCCCAGGTTGTGAGGGATGCCAGGTTTTGTACCAAGGGGGGGGGAGGGTGAAGTAAGGAAAAGGGAGGTTTCAAGAGAACTTTCATATGCTAAAAAGGACCTACAAAGATACCAGATACCAGAGGCCTTGCCATTGCCAAGGTCGTTTTGCCCTCTAGCAAGGTATTAACATTAAGATGGGTGGGAGATTCCTAAAGAATGTCACATTTGTCCCACCCAGGAGGGTGGGGGGAGTTGGAGGGTGTCAGCTTTTGCTTTGTCCTTAGGCAGCCTTCTGTTCCCTCCTCAGAACTACCCTGTGATCCCATAATTCCACTACCAGTTATTTACCCAAAGAACAGGAAAACACTAACTCAAAAAGATATATGCCTCCCTTTGTTTATGGCAGCATTACTTACAAAAGCTGAATTATGGAAGCAACCCAGGTATCCATCAGTAGATGAATGGACAAAGAAGATGTGGTATGGATGTGTGTATATATATCCTTGGCCATAAAAAAGAATGAAATCTTGCCATTTCCAACAGCATGGGATAGGTCTAGAGAGTGTAATCCTAAATGAAATAAGCCAGACAGAGAAAGACAAATACCATATGATTTCACTCATATGTGGAATTTAAGAAACAAAACAAATGAACAAAGAAAAAAAGAGACAAACCAAAAAAAAAAAAAAAAGAAAAGAAAAGAAAAAGATTCTTAACTATATGGAGAACAAACTGATGGTTATCCGAGAGAAGGTGGGTGGGGAGAGGAGTGAAATAGGTAAAGGGGATTAAGAGAGTACACTTACCATGATGAGCACTGCACGACATGTAGAATTGTTGAATCATGATATCATACACCTGAAACTAACACTGTATGTTAACTCTACATCACCACTGTATGTAACATGGTATGTTAACTATTCATAACTGCTGTATGTAACACTGTATGTTAACTATACTGGAATTAAAACAAAAAATAAAAGAAGATAAATAGGAGACATTCTAAGGGCCTGGCCACCAGGGGCCATCCCTGCTCACTTTATGCTATTGGAACACCCAGGCAGTCCTTGTTCAGATCTTTTACCCTGTTCTGGGCATCTTCCCAACCTGGAACTGACCTGGACCGGATGTTTTGTAATATTCAGGAAGCTGTCGCCTCCCTGGACAGGGCAGTTTGGCCAGACTCCAACACTGATTAGGATCTGGCCAGGCCCAGAGATTTCTCACTACATCCCGAGACCTAAGATGGTATCTCCATGGGTCTCCAAACCAGAGCAGATTCAGAAGCTGGCACAGGTGGGTAGCTGGCGTGTAGAGGAATGGGTCTCTCTTTTGGATCTGGAAAGTCTGGGGCCAGACAGAAGAAACAGATACATTTAATCTCATCTTCACGGTGATTTGGTACAGAATTGGTTTTTTCACATTACAAGTGTTCAGGCTCATTTAACTCAGAAACTGAAATTCTCCTTGAAACAAGTGTTGTATCATTTACATGCCCTGAGATTGTTCCACACTGTTCAAAGAATGATTTTCAAGTCTTCCCGCCAACATTCACAACTTATTCAGCGATTCTCTTGCCTGCTGTCTGAACACTTAAAGTGAAAAAGTTAAGGAAGGGGCGCCTGGGTGGCTCAGTGGGTTAATGCCTCTGCCTTTGGCTCGGGTCATGACCCTGGGATCCTGGGATCCTGGGATCCTGGGATCGAGCCTGGCAGGGAGCCTGCTTCCTCCTCTCTCTCTGTCTGCCTCTCTGCCTACTTGTGATCTCTGTCTGTCAAATAAATAAATAAAATCTTTTTTTAAAAAAAGTTAAGGAAGAAAAAAATAATACAGAAAAATATATCCATTAAACTTAGAATTCTTTTCTTGCTGTTATTGGTAGTGTTTTTGGTTTCGTTTTGTCTTTTTCTTTTGTTTGTATAATTTTAGCTGTGAAATATCCTTGGTCTGTTGGAGCTCATAATCTACAAAACCGAATTTAGGGAAACCTTTTGGTAAAACGATTTTCAAATGTCGAGCTCGCTCAAAGTAACAGGCACTAGAAGATTTTACTCATTCTCCTTAGTCTTTCCAGATCCCACTATCTTCTATCCTTACCCACGGAAGAAGAGCTGGGGAAGCCCCACCCGTTCTTGCTCATTTATTCTCCAAAAATTGCAACACCACATTCTCCCAATGCCACGGAGACAAGCCATGATCCACCACTGACACAACCTGTATAAACAAAGATTGGGGCCTCCACCTTCTGACTGAGCAGCCCCTACCCTGTGCCACCTCCATCAGATTGGACTCCGTTTCTATCTAAGTCCCTCATATTGGGGATGAGTATGCTCAATGTTGGAAGAGCCAACATTGTTGGCCTCCATGTTGGGAGGACCTCCATGTTGAGAGGAGCTGGAAGAGAGCTTTTTCAAACCCCCTTGTGGCATGAATGTTTCTATCCTGGTATACAGCCCATGGGTAGGCACCCCTGCAAGAGACTCTCCCCCTTTCATCACTTCCAGACCCCCTCCCAAGAGCCAATGTCACCTCAGGGTGAAGCAGAGAAAGAAGGAGGAAAGGCAGGGATCACACCCGTCCACACAGCCCAATCCAACCTGCCCCTGGAAAGCCCCATCTGTTCTATCACTTGGCCCCACACTGTGGCCTGGGCTTGAAACTCTGAGCATGGCAGCTCAGGGCTTGTCCCAGTGTCAGACACATCTTGGGACAAGCCCAGGCCCCGCCACCTCTAAGCTGGGTGATCTAGCAGGAGTCTCGGCCATATCTCTGAGTCTCCATGTCCTTGATTATAATCATAATCTATCTGCCACAGGGGGAGGAGAGATTCCATGAGCCACTAATTAATGTACGAGCTTGATACGGAGCTGCCACTTAACACATTTGACTTTTTACTCTGACTTCAGTCACGTCACATGTCTTCTCTGCTCCAACCGTCTAGCTGATACCTCTCTGCCTCTGCTCCCACCTCTCTCCCCTGGGCTGCCTCTGCTGCAGCCACATTGGCCTTCTTGCTGTTCCTGGAATAAGAACGTGCGAGGCACACTCCCATCTCAGGACTTTGGCACTGGCTACTGTCTCTGTGTCCACTTGGCTCACCCTAGCACTCCCATCGAGAATTTGTTCATATGTCACCTTCTCATTGTGGTTTTCCCCCGCCACCCTACTTAAAATGCTGACCCTCCTTCCCTCTCACTGCTTTATTTTTCACCAGTGACTTTGCCATCTGACCCACCGGACTTCTTGGGTCATTATCTTCTCTCCTCTTAGAACATCAGCTCCAGGGAAAGGATGTGACTATATTCCTGCACCCAG